TGCACCAATAGTAAGCGTTATTGATATGCCGACAAGGTATGTCACCATACGAGCGACCGCAATGTTGACAAGGTTGGCTAGCTCGGGCAGGTGGAGCTGTAGGTCGGGGCATGACAAAAAGAAGGCAATTTTGGTTCGTTTTTCTAGAGGGTTACTTACTAGTTTAGAAATTTTTTTTTAAGTTGTTGGGGTTATTGTTGGGCACGAACTCGGGCAAAATATTGGTGCTTGGCCGAGATAAGATCTTCGGCCAACTGGGCATGTTCAAGCACCTCTGCATACGAGTTAGGTCTCAGCATCACGACCTAGTTATAAATGTCGGCACGAAGACCTTTGAGAAACTTTCTACTTTTTCAACTTTCAAGGGTGACCATCAAAGGGGCAAACCTAGATAGTTGAATAAATCGGGCTGCATATTGGGATACAGACAAGCTTCCTTGGCAGAGATCCTAGAACTCCTCTTTCTTTTTCTGAACATAAGTAGGGAAAACGTTATCAAAGAAAGTGTCCATGAAAATTTCCTAGGTAGTAAGGGTAGGCAGGACTTCTTTCTTAAGTCGCCACCAGTGTTCGCCTTCACCGTTTAATATGAAAGCTACAAGAGGGACTTTTTGTTCTTTGGTCAGGTCTAGTATAGAAAAGAGCTTTTCTATTTGTAGGATCCAAGCTTTGGCTACTAAAGGATCAGAACCACCTTCAAAGTATGGGGAGTTAAGTTTTCTAAACTCTGCTATATTATGAGAGATAGACCGATCTGTATTTTAAAATTCAGGGGCAGGGGGTGGACAAGGGTTGGCTTGGTTCTGTCTTACAACTACAGTTAATCCTTGAATGGTTCAAAAAAATTATGTAAATTCAGCCCTAGTCAGATGATCCGGGGCTTCAGCTTGTTCAGTTACGCTCTATGGATGGTCTTTCCTGCGTCATTCCTATAAAAGAAAGGAACACAAAGAGTTAGAGGTTTAATTCTTGAAAGGAGGACATATTTCTTCCCTAGATACTCTAAAAGGTTTATCTATCCTAGGCTCCAGTGCAAGGGATTTGTTCTGCAAAATTCTACTCTGGTACCATCTATGACATCCCAAGTGCTAATTAAGGCATATGGTGTTAAATATAGATTCAAAATAACGAGTGCGTAATAAAATTTATGTAGCAGAATCAAACCGTAACAAATTCCTTACAAATATATATGATGTTCTAAATACATACATAAACTGAGGACAGAAGTGGCTACAAAATACAAAATATAAGGGCCACTTCTTTCACTATGCAACTAAATTCATCAGATCGCGGAAATAGTCATTCACTCAGACTTGTGGATCCACAGGATCCTCATAGACTTCCAAGGGTAGGTCTCTCTGTGGTTCTTCATTTTCTTCCTCATCTCGGGAGGGAGAACATGGAAAGAGTGAGTTTCATATGCTCAGTAAGAAAAACAGTATTAAATTAACATCATAAGATTTCAAAAGTTTATTATTTTATCTTACCGTTTAGCTTCCTTGTTTACCTAATCACTATTATGAAAATCATTTGTTTGAATATGAAAATGACATGTTAGCACAGAAGATCAAATATATATCATGCCAAATAATAGAGAAAATCAAATAAATCATAAAATATACAAATTTTTCGTGTCATGCTTCGCAAAGTCATTACAAACTTCTATATATGAGGATAGATACTGATTTCCAACTACTCAAGTGAAATGACCAGATCAGATATAGACATAGAAAATTTGCTCAGACCCACGTCCGGCCGGCCAAACCATGATACGATCTATGACCACGGCCGCACCAACTATAGTGGTCCTAATAGATATCTATAGTCACGTATTTACTTAGCTACGAGTGACTCCTATAGATAGTGCGATACCATTCTCGTCAGAGGACACGTTGTCATTCATTGAGAACGGTCCTCTTATGTCTTTCTAGACTAGATAGGGGAGGGAGAAATAAATACCCCGAAGGGTAAGAGGAACAGATATACCTCAGAGATAAAAAGACTAATGAGACACTTGGTGCAATATGCATGTCAATACAGATACACTTCGGACCATACAGGTTTCATTCAACTTTTCTCTTTTTCTTTTTCTTTTTATTTTCACTATTATAGATTACATATTACATTTATTATATGAAAATTTATTGAATGTCTATAATTCACATAGCATGCTTGAAAACCATAACAATTCGACTCATTTAAACACAAAGGCATACAAAACAGGCAAAATAACATTCATATTAAATTTACTTATCTAAAATACTCTTTAAGACGTCGAAAGTAATACTAGATTCCTTACGAAAATCTCGATAATTTATTCTTCACAGTTTTTCTTTCTTTCTCTTCTTCTAGCACTAATTTATTGTATCTCTCTCTCTCTCTAAACCTTGAAAAATGGAAGAAATGAAAGTGTAGAGAGAAAGGAAAATTTAACAATTTTGAAACTGTTAGATTCGCAATAAGTGACAAAATTCGATGAAGAGAGAGGAGAAAAAGATTCTTAGCATAAAAAATGGGAGATGAAGGCCTTGTCCACCAGCGAAGGTGGTGCACCACCCAAGGCAATAACGGTGCACTGCCCGAGGGGATGTGCATGCGTGTGGAGGGGACGTGCACGCTGTGCGCACGTCCTGTGCGTGCTGGCGTGCGGATGGGTCGTGCGCATTGGGCGCATAGCCCAGTAGCCGCGCGGGCAAACTGGTCTCTCGCGAGATTTTTCCTGCGGGCAGTTTTTTTTTTCCGTTTCACCATTTTCTGATTTTTTTCTATTTTTTTTAATTTAAAAATAAAATAAAGTAAAAATAAAAATAAATAAAAAATCACAAATCATGAAAAATATTAAACAGTATAAATTAATTAAGTTTAAGGCGGCCAAAGGGCCGAATAAATAGAATTTCTAAATTATTTTAGCACAGTGATGGACGGGGTATTACAGATAATTTTTAACTATCTTGTTGAGATAGGAAATCTTCAATCAACTTATCGAGTAAGTCGTGCCATCTTTTTAATTTCTTTTTATTTTTCCAATTTTCTTGATAGCATTCATTTCATTGGGCATGATTCAAGCAGAGAGAGTTTGACTTAAGAATTTAAGTTTCTACATGCTAAGCATAATGGGTTTATGATGAAGGTGTTTTTGCAAATGAAAAGTATAAATTATTGTTTTTATAAATTATCACTACAAAATTTTTTTAATTCATTGTAATGCAACCTACAAAACGCAATCAACCTTTTAAAAGGGAGAGGAACAAGTAAAAAAGAGCATTGAGAGTTAAAGAGGACTAGAAACAGAAAAAAGAACAATAAAAAAAGGGATAGCAATAAAACTATAACCACAAAAAATATTATGTTCAAAGTAAAAAATAATTGAGTTATAGGAAAAATTACCATTTTTGTCTCCAAACTTTGGCTTATTTTTCATTTTAGTCCCTAAAGTTCTTTTGCCACAAAATGGTCACCAAAGTTTTAAAAGCTTTTTAAAGACCCATTTAGTGCAAATGACATCCAAATGGTTAATGTGAAATGTGAAACCCTTTACTTGAACCTAGTAACTTATTGGCTAATTTGAAACCTGAAAATAACATGTAACCCATTTCTGAAAAAACAAAAGGTGTAATAATAGAAAAACCAACGAAAAGAGGTAAGATAATTCGTTTACCCAGTCATGCATACTTTGCCCAAACCTTAACCAAAAAATTTCTAGAAATATGAACACATGCTTCACATTTTATAGGAGAAGAACGAATGTGGGTATTTAGGGAAAAAATAGTTGATAGATTGAGGAAGAAGATTAAGTTGAATCGTTATAAATGGTGGCCTCGGCAAGTAAAGTTCACCAAAGATGGTAAAGTCAGTTCGGAGATATTTTAATTTTTTTATTGTCATTTACAAAAGGAGTTTGTCAAGATGTATATATAGGAAGTTTATGTTAGATTTTGCATTCTTCATTGGTTAAAAACAATAAAGAAAAATTGTAATTAAGAACTTTATAAGTTTGGATGAAACAAAATAAATTAAAAAATCTATAGAGCCATAATACTTGTGATACATGAGGAATAAAAACAGTGAAAGAGGATACTAATATAATTATTTAAAATGTTGATTTCATGGGTTAAAAAATGTTATGCCTTCTAAAATATTTTAAAATGTTCATGTTGTGAGTGTGTTACAAAGACAATATGGGAAATATAAACTAATGCGGAACCCATAATCAATAACATAATTCGAATCTAGACATACACAATAAATGTGGAACCCAAGATATAGCTTGCTATCCGAACCCACACATATACCTTTAGCATAAAATTTTTATTCCTTAATAAATTATTTCTATTTAATCCACAATCAACACGTGATTAGAATTAAAGTAATTAAGATAAAAAAAATGGATTGACTAAAATGCTACAAGAATTCTTCAATAAGTAAAAATTAATTTTCCGTGCAATGAAAAGGATTTCGGTTTTTTGAAAAAATAAATCAAAATTTTGATTTTTGCACATTACAAAGCTTATAATTTAAAGAGATAAATTATCAAGCACAATAATTTTATAAACTCAATGAATTATAGTTAATGCGCATAAAATATATAATAATTATAATGCAAAATTAAAATTATTACTCAACAATAGACTCAATTTATTTTTTACTCTTTTGTATTAATTTTAGTTAAGTTAATTATGAATAAATTCTACATAAATCAAATAGACTATTTAATTAAAAAAGTATAATAAAAAAATTAACTTCCGTGGACTTTCAATACGCGTTCAGTTTTTACGGTTTTAAGTTGTGCTCTCATCCTCTAGTTAATAAATATTTATTGTCAATAAACTTTCACATGAATTTTTATTTTTACTTTCTAAATATAACCTTTAACAAATTTAGAGGCACCATGCTACAAAGATCACGAGGCAAGTATGATAAGGGTAGTTTTGTCCTTTCATATTTTTCCCACTTATATTATTTATTTGTTTATTTTTCACAAAAAAAAACTCAGCTCCTGAGTCTAATAGCAGATTTATGTAGGCAATCTTTCTGATCTTCACGGCCTTCACTTGTGTCCTCCACACTGCGATTTATGTAGGCAAATTATCTGTGCGATTGTAATAACAGATTTATTCCTCGAATTAAGTTCATTAAAAGGTAGGCTATTCTATCTTCTTCTCTGATGACCCATCTGAAAAGTCATGATTTTTAATCAACTTCCATTAATATCTCAGAGATATTAATGGGGGTTTCTGGTAAATTTTGGAAATTTGTTTATTTCTTTACTTGGAAGATTGTGTCTTTATTATAGTTTGTTGGTATCTTTTGGCTTTAAAGTAACAAGTCTTGGTGAAGTTCAAGAAATTTTCGGCTCTACACTCTTTGTATGGTAGCTGAGAAAATATAAGAGGAAAAGGAGTAATTAGAATGATTTATCTATATCTTTTCTTGCTGGAGTTTAATAATTGGATTTCTCAGAAATGTTGTACTTTTTATTGTTTTGTTCCGCTTGCTTCACGAGTCTCTCTGTGGAACTCTTGATATAGCTTCTGCATTTTCCCGGCTTTTTTGCGATTTCTGATGGAGGTTCTTCATATTCCGATGAGTTTTCCTCTGCATCAGATTTCTCAAGCTCTTGAGGGAGCTTCTTTTGAGGTTTCACAATGAAACTTACCTTTTTCTTTTTTGTGCTCCTTTAATAAGATCATTCTCTTCAACTGAGATGTCTCGTTTGTGTTCGTTCATGGAGGTATCTTGTTTTTTTATCTAAAAACCAGCCTATGGGTCAAAGACCAAAAGGAAAAACAAAAGAAAAACAAAAGCCAATCCAAGTTGCCTCTTACTCTTCCGACCTTACAAAGATATGTAATCTTGAACTTTAGCAGTGCCCTTTCGAACAACGCATGCATTGGATGGTCTATCATGTGTGTTAGGGTCAGATGTCCCTTATGGTAGCTTGTAAAGAATATATTTCTATTCATTTTAGTTTTCTTTTGGCTGGATGTGATTCTGGGTGGGTACCGTGGATAAGGGCTTATGAAGATATTCATCAATGAAAGGGAATTATGAAGATCTTCATCACTGATTTTGTAACTAAGGATTATTAGAAAATGAAAATGGCTTTTTCTGTGGCACAATAAGTTACTTGTTTTTCGTTTTTATGTCTTTCCTAAGTTTCTGTGTAAATGAAATAATGATTAGAAAGCATATATGAACTTAAGAGATAGACAGTAGCCAATATCTTGTACATATGCTATATTCCTTGTGATAGGTATTCTGATCTCTATTTTTGGATGTCAGCAAATGTAATTAATAAGTTTCTCAGTTCATGTAATCTAAGTTCATAATATGCAGAATGAGCTCTTGGGTATATTTATCTATTCTATTGAGTACTACAGACATGAAATGCCCATCAAGCCATTATATTAGGTATACAGTTTGATTTGAACGTGCAAATCTCCATTTTAGAATAATATATTTAACAGCATGATTTTCAAGTTGTGACAGTCTCTGGCTTAATCTATATCAAACAAATGTTATTATTTTTATTTTAGACTTTCATTTCAGATTTGATTTTGATTTTCGTTAAGAGTTCAGTCTAATTTGAATATTTATTGTTTTAGTTGCTGAAGGATGAATTTTGTATCCTTCATTACTCTGTATGGACTCAACTGAAGCAGCCAAGCCTTGCAGATTTGGGGACAAGTGTACTAGTGATATCACTCTGCACTTGAGAAATACTAGTGGTAGACTTGAATGGTTCTACTCCCACTTTATTCTCATAAACAAGAGCAAGTTCTTTGCTGATCAGATCTCCAGTCCTGACTGTAAATTACAACTATCATGTTAGTCTTTTGACATTGTTGGATCTCTCTTCAGAGTTGCTTCTGGAGTCCGTGGACCCTGTTGAATCTGCTGTTGGTATTCTTCAGATAGGCAGTTTACATTGCATTGTAAAGAGATCAGGGATTGCTGCATCCAGTATTTGGAGGCTATTTCTTAGTAAGACGGATGAGGAAGAAATTATAAATGCAGTCTCAGAACTGGGTCCAGTAGCAATGCCCATTTTATCGAGAATTCAACCTCTAGATATAATTGCATCGAAAAATGCTTTCATTTTAGCGGTTCAGTTCGCCATGTCCTTTGACGGAGCATCTCCTCCATTCGGAGATGATCTTAAAACCTCTGCTCAAGAACAGGTTGAGTACATGCTGGGGGCAGATGAGCATACCCCATTAGTTACAGCTGATGATGAAGTGAAATCAGTAGTAAGAATGGGCCTCTCAAAAGTTTGCTCTTCGTTCGAAACTGAATTATCTTCCATGCTTTTGGAGTCGGATCTCACATCTCAAACTATAGAAGGTAAAGCCCTGCGGAGTCTACATGACATCGAATGGATGTGTAACATCTTATCAAGGATGGATTTAATGAAGGACTTTGTTTGTAACTGGGCAGAGATCTCTGGTAAGGTTTTAGAGATAGTAGAGGATAAGAAACCAGGATCTGCAATGCTGGGTTTGAAAGTAACGCTAATAGAAGTGACAAGCAAAGTGTTGGAAACAGTAGAGTACGGGAATGTAATCCTTCCAGCTTTGGGCCGGCTGCAATTGCTAAATTCATGGCTCCCATTTATCCGAAAGATAAAAGTGATTTTGGACACAACAAACAAGGAGCAATTGAGCAATACATACAAGATGGAGGAAGAGACGTGGGGAAACATTGAGGGAGCAATTGTGTCATTGGTACTGGCATTGCCATCAAATGACCAAGCTAATGTTTTTGCATATTGGATAAAGACAGAACACGTGAGATATCCTGATTTGAGTGAGGCATTTGAAATTTGGTGTTATAGGACTAAGTCTGCAAAGAGAAGATTGTTGGAGGGATCTGAGAATGTTGGCAATGCCACTGTCAGTCTTTGATTAGTTTAATTTGATGGGCCTGTTGTTGTTGATCAATTTAGTTGTATTGAATTGCATAATCCTCTTTTTCATAATAATAGTAGCAATATATAATTGAAAATTCTTCATTTTCTAACGCAGAAAATAATCAACATCCTTATTTGTTTTGAGGAATGAAGATGAAACAACCAGGAAAATTAGTCTTGTCTTAACCCATCTACCAGACAACCTACAAAATATATGTATATATATATGACTAACTCGTGTAATTTTATAATCCTTTTGTCAAGAGTATTTAGTCCAAATATTATAACAATTTTAGTAGTTTAGCAAAGACGGATCCCCCAAATGCGTCCAAGTGGTAGAGTCCGTTTCGGTCTCAATGCATCCAATTATCTTCTTCAAATTTTGATTCTAAAAGTAAAGTGAAAAGAGTCAAATATTATTTTAAATTCAAATTTTGTGATAATTTACTTACTAATTAGTACGTAATCTAGGTACATGTAATATATTTTTTAGGACAATATTAGAACTTAATGTCGCCCTTGCTTGTAATAATTTTTTAGGGAACCATGTGTAACGACAATCTTTCTATTACTTGGACATTGAGTGTGTCTATAAAAACATTTAGAAAGTAGAGATCATATGATATATGATTCTTGAGTCTATAATCCAAAAGTTCTCAAAGAATTTATCTGAAACATAAGTTCATGTAAGGTAGAATTCATATTTTAGTATCTCAATAAATCGATATTTGTTTATTTCTCTAGAGATTCTAAGTCCTGCCTCTTGTGTTCCAATCTTCACTCTAAATTTACTAAGATATAAAGTTGTCATGTTGGGATTTAGTTTAATAATTGGGCTACATAAGGAAAATACTAATTCTGCACTGAGTCAGCTCAACGATTCCACCTTGACTCGACTCAGCTTGGATTTAGAGGAAAGATGCGATAAATATACCAGTAGCTGACGCACACACATCTGAATTCCAAGAGTTGCTACTGAGACGAACTAAAGAAGATGTCTGTGGCGACTATGGATATTATGAGATAGCTCTTCCTTCCTAGTTTTTAGCACATGTTGTATATGTAATACTACTTTAAGATTGTACCAAATCATTCTCTTATTCTTATCTCTATCTGCTACTTTAAGATTGTAACAAATCATTCTCTAATTCTTTTCTCTACAATTTCTCATTGTACAAATATAGATAAAATGCCCTCACATCAATATAGCTAATTATTATTATTTTTCTTCAAACCTTACATGGTATCAGAGCTATAAACAATGGATGCAGCTCCTACTGCTTATCAAGCTTTCTCCATTAAACTCACAAGCAAGAACTATCTTGCCTAGAAAACACAATTCCTACCCTTCAAAAACTACCAAAACTTAATGGGATATGTTGATGGCTATTTACTTGCTCCACCAAAAACAAAATGATAAACCTGAAGAAACTATTCCCAACCCATATTATGAAACATGGTTTCAAAAAGATTAAATGTTACTTTGTTGGCTACTCTCCTCTCTATCCGAAGAGGTTTTTTCCTATGTCATTGGCACAATCTCCTCCCATGAGCTTTGGAATGCCTTAGCTAGTACCTTTGACTCCATTTCATATAATAGACAATTGCAACTCAATATTGAATTGCAAGAACTCAAGAAAAATGATGTGATAGTTTCCTGGTATCTCTAAAAGGCAAAGTCTCTAGCTAATGACCTAGCTTCTGCTAGTCGAACAATCACACCATCTGAGTTCAATGCCATTATTACAAAAACATAGGAAATAACTATCACATGAGAATATAATTTAATTTTAATAAAAAATTTCTTATATTCACCTTGCAAGTGTCTTCAATCTTTGCTTAGATCTTACTTCCATAAGTTAGGAATAACTTTTTAATTTTTATTTTTCAATTTATATTTATACAAGAATTAAAATATAAATAAAATTATTTTTAAAAACATCAAAGATAAATATTTTTAAATTTAATGTCATCTCTATTATTTTTATTTAAATTAATTTATATAATGTCATAAATAAATAAATAAATTTTAAAAATAAGAATAATTTTGTTATTTACCATAAAGAAAGAGCCTTACATTTGAAGCAAATGGGCACTGCAAAATGATATGTAGGGAAATAAAAATAAATTTAAAATAATAGCAGGAACTTAAAAATCAAAGTATTAAATTTAAAAAAAACACAACTATTAAATATGAAAAGAAGAATTAAAATATTGGGTATTTAACTATATAACTTCCCTTTATTATTATAATTATGAGCAAATTCAAGTTAAATCTTTCATAAATACATCATGCAATAAGTAACTGAAACTCCAAACAATCACCTGTTTTGGGTAATGGATTATGAGCATCTTCCCAACTTAAAGAATATAGGACAATTATATACATGGAATAAGTATGTAAGTTTAATCCGAGGAGTTTTGGTTGCTTTTAACAAAGAATATATCAATGGGTACATATCTATGTTCCCTTGAAGATGACTTTTGCTTCTTCCATTTCCCTTGATTTGTAGTAGTATCCATCTTAATAGACTTGCCCAATTTTTTTCATGAAATAAAAATTGACCTACAGAAATCAAAGTAAAATTGATGGTATCTCAGACACATCAAAGTATGGTCTAATTATGCATGCCAAAACTAATATGAAAACTAGAACTAGAATTTGACTAGGAACTAAATGAGGATTAAACCAAATGGAATCAGAAGTTAAGTAAACACATATGACTACTAGGTTTTCTCATAAGAGGACCCACTAATGACACACCAAAGTCAAAGGATAAAATCTGTAGACACCTGTCAGGAAACCCCTCAGGGTTTATTACAAAAAGAAGGGCAAGAAGGGAAATATGCACACCAAAAGGCAAAATGGAAAAAACCCAGAACCAGCTAGGATTAAGGTTGACAAACCCTAACGAGATTCATCTCATCTTGCAGCCGAAACCTCTACCATCCGTAATTCATCCCACGGTCAATGCCACACTCATCATCATCACACGATTCTGGCAACATGATTCCACCATGAAGAGCATTTTTGTTTATTGTATTTAGGCTTATAAAAGGGCCCTCTTCCATAAGTTGTAATCATCGAAAATCAATAATAAAAAAAAAGTACCTCTGTTTTCCTCTCTTTAACCTTCTTCATCTTCTCTATCTTCTTTTTTTTCTTATTCTTCTCATTATTCTTAACATATCAGAGCCATGTCTAAGGCTTCTAAAAAGATGGTATCAAAGCCTACACTGGCTAAATCCTATGCTGGTGACGTCATGCGAACACGATCGAAGGGGAAGGCCCCGATAACTGAGCAAACAAATCCTGAAACACTCACCATTAAAAAAGTTGATTCGAAACTATCGATGTTCATGGATGAATCACGCTGACAGTTCAATGTGATATGATAGCTGCTCCAAGGCAGAATCGTTGATCAAACCAAAGGAAGTTCTGCGTGATGAGAAGTCGAGACCCGTCCAAGCAGAGGCCTCCTACCTCCCATGCACGACACGAGCTCATATTCGGTTAAACAAGGGTTACTGATAAAAACAAGGCTAAAAACACTTAAGATACTCAAAGAGCATCAGAAGGTGACTTGGAGCAAATTTCAAATGGCGTAAACACAAATACAGTTCCAAACCTGAAAAGTTTCAGCGGACCAGTAACAAGATCAAAGGTAAAGAAGCTTAAAGAGTTGCTCCAAGTTTTTACTCAAAAACATGTGGATGATGGGCTGGCCAATTGTGGAAGTTTAAATATTAGCTTTTTGAACAGATCAAATTCGTAATTTTAATTGGATTTAAATGAATTGGGATAATTTGTTCTTGTTTGAGTCTTATTGATAATGGATGAATAAGCCTTGTGTATGGGCTGGATTAGTTGAGTTGTTTTAAGTATTTTGGATTGTTTTATTTTAGTTTGAGTTAATTAATCCTATATAATTAAGTATGACTCATTTTGGGCTTAAGTCTTGTCTTAGTGTTATTACAAGAATGAGCCCATAACTATGTGGTGCCACAAACAATTAGTGGTGTTGGTTAAGAAGATTGGAGTTACAAGGAGTTACATGACAATTACATGCCTATAATTAGCCTAGTTATTGTTGGAGTTACAATTGTAATTACCACATAATTAACCTAGTTATTGTGGGAGTTACAATTGTAGTTATTGTATTGTAACTTATCATTGATTTCTTTGACTATAAATACCAAAGGAACTCTTCTTTTTGGACATCAAGAGTTGTAATCAAATATTTCAGAATTGAGTTGAGAGTGTTTTAGATTTCTTTTCACTTTATGCAAAAGGTGTTGATTTGGAATACAATTGTTATCACTTGTATTTCAATTTTGATTTCCTATTTCAATTGTTCTTAGTGCTTGTTTGGATTGGGTTCAAGGGATATCATTTATCTTTCTTGGGTTCTCTTTAACTTCTACCATTTGGGTGATTGAACAAATTTGATTCCTTTTTTACTTGTGTTCTAAATTCCATTCTAAACCGATTGAAGAGTTCTAAGGTTCAAGCAAGGGTCTTGGGGTTCTGCATCAGTTATGGTTACTCTTTTTAACCTATTCAGCCTCTCTAAATCAAACCCAACTGGCTAAATAAACAGATTGGGCCGAACTGGTCCGACTTGACCCAGTCAAACACCAACCCAAATCAGTGACCAAAAATTACCCAGTACAACTTCTAGATTGCATCAGACCACCCAGGACTATGAACCGAACCTGTTCGACCCATATTTACACACTCTCTAAGGTGGAAATTTCCTTTCTTGAAGGAGAAAACCCTCACGAGTGAGGTTGACATTGTGAAAAGTATTTTATGGTTCACCATAACCCCAAGGAGTAGAAAGTGAAGATTGCATCCTTATAATTAAGAGAAGTTGTTGCTGTTTAGTATCATGGGTGGCTAGCTAAATTTGACACCCTATACTAAGAATATTTTATGGAAGAACTTTGCCGATGGTTTGGAGCTCCCATAAGGAGTTCATAGAAGAGTTCACCAAATTATAACAAACGAGTATTGTTATCAATTATGTAGAACAATTTGAATGCTTATACTCTCTTATGGATGTAGATAACCCAACACTTTCAAAGAGATTTTTCATATC